GGAAGTAGCGAAAAACCTCCCCGTACCTTCGAGAACACAGAAGCCAACACTAGTCCCGAAGGCACACGAAGGCGCAGGCGCACCCGAGATCAGAAGTCACGCAGAACCCCATCGAACGGGGAAACATGACGAAAACACCGTCCCAAAAAGGGGTGGGAGGAAGCATCCACCCACAGGACGGAACCAACTGACTCAAAGGCCAAGGAACCGAGCCCGGGGAGAGGCCGACGCCCAACAGCACGTACGGCGAGTGGGGAGGAAAAAACCCACTCCGCGTAACCACAAGCCCCGCCTAGAGGGGGGTAAAAACCCCCACGGGGTCCAACGGGGCCAAGGCCCCCCAAGTCAGCCCCTTCCCAGCCCCGGGAACCTACACGACAGGCCCCGGGGCCGAGCCGTTCCCCCAAAGCCCCGGCCGTACCAGAAAACCGGGGCAGCCGTGAAAACACTAATGAAGGGAGCCCACTGGCAGACTCTTACAACACGGCTGGAGGAACAGGCTCAAATGCCCCCGTCACTACCCCGGAAGGGGAATTCCCCGAGACTGCCCGAGTCTCAACACCATCAAAAACCCTGCCCCGAACCTACAGACGGTAAGGAACCAGATGCAGGCAGGAAGGGTGATCCAGGGGAAAGACAAGGGGGCGTGGATGGAACCGAAGCAACCAACACCCCCAAGTCCCAAAACGAACTACAACGGGGCAGCCCCGGAGCTCCCGGGGAGGAAACCACGAGAACGTTGCCACCACCAAGGCTCAAGTGCAACGCCCCTGCTGCCCGCACCCGCTCTGTTAGCACAACTGGGTAACCGAGCCACAACGAGCAACCAAACTCGCAGGACTCCGGGTCGAAGGTGTCACCGACCCCACAGGCAGCAGACGGAGGCAAAACAGAGAGTCACCCAGAGACAAAGGGTGAGAGCAACCCTCAAACTCGCTGGAAGCGAGGGGGGACTCTGGGGTCACATCCATTGGACCCGCGCACCCCCAGGGGTTTCCCAGGGTCCCGAGCATTTACTATAAGAGGACTCGCGCTCAGGTAATCCCAGGCAGGGTACTGCTAACCGGCACCCACCCAAAGCTACCAAACAACTTTCTAAGAGCTGAACCCCCGGGACGTGTACACTCACGGGGACCTAGCAGGGGTACCACCAGAAAATACTCAGAACACAAGGGACACAAGGGGCAAGAACGAAGGCAGACCCCCCCCCCCACCAGGTAGATGAAGAAAAAGAAAACCCCGCAAGAGGACAGCGTTCCCAAGCGGAACAGAGCCGGCCGCTATGATTGGTAAAGACAAGCTGCACAGTACCCTGCGCCCCACCAGTGCAAAAACTGCCCCTTACTCTAAGGCGAACAAGGGAGACAGAACACCCGAGCACACAAAGAGCGGCCGAAAACCAAGCAGTAAACGGCCAAGCAGGGGCAGGACCCACGGAACTTGTGGAAGGCGGCCCCAAGCCCCAAGGGCAGTACTTACAGGGCACCTAGGGAAGGGAACCCTAGGCGCATGCAGCCCGAGTACTGAAGAATCACTCCCGGCTCACGCACCACCTAGAAAACAGACACCACACTCTAGGTACAGTGCTGAAACAACCACTGGAGCCGGAGCACATAACCATTGCCTATAGCATCAGCCGAAGAACTGATGGGTGGATAGCCGGCGTGGGAGGTCTGGGGCTCCCCCTTCCCCCTCCCGGGGAGGGGGGAGCTGCGCAGACAGCGGCGCGGTGATGTATGACGTCATACTAGTTTCCTTGTTTTCTGTTGAAGAGTTCTATCCACTAGTTCGGCTTTAGGTAGCAATTTTCACCAGAATAGGGGTTTGTTTTGGAATGCTTACCTTTCTGGATGCTTGACCCGGTCGATGGCAGACATAGAATGCTTCCAACCACACGGGGGTTTCTATAGGCCATTGCTCCCCTTGCCTCTCTGAGGGGGCCAGGTTCTGGCTCGTGGTCCCCGGTAGGCCCTAGAACTCCATACACATGACTGATGCCAAAGTCTGACATTAGCATATCAGCCGGTAAAGCTCCGGGGAGCCGACGGGGCTCCCCCCAGAAATAACATTTTTGTGAATTATTATATTCAGATTAACAGATTTTGGTCCATATTTTAAGCTTGCCCCAAGAATAATTTTCATGGATCTTTAATTCGACACCAAATTCACCATTAATGATTTGCTACCAACGCAAATTGTTCAGCTGATGAAACACATATTCTTTTATAATGATTTGTTAGCTTTACCTGCTGCCATGCCAGCATGGCACAGCCCATAGCATAAAACTAAGTAAAGAAGGTAAAGTTTTAACTTACTGCATCAGCAGAAGTATAAGCAACATCTTTTAGCTTGAGGAACAGCGACTTGTCATAGAAGCTTCCACACTTACTTAGGTTCACCTGTAGCAAGAAACAAGAATATTTACAACACTACATATTGTAAACGTTATTGTTATAATGTTCTTCTAAAATAGGTTCTACAAACATAATAAAACTTCAATACTGTACATATATGTACTGTACAGAGTAAAGTATATTTGCTTAATATAGGAGAGAGAGAAGACAGTGCTCACTTTCCCTCCACTTGAGTTATTCTTGCCTCACCTACATGCAGCTTTACATCCACCGTAACCCCCTCCCCCCCCAACACAAACACACACACACACACACACACACACACAGTTGGGGGCCTGGTAGCCTGGTGGATAGCGCGCAAGATGGTAATTCTGTGGCGCAGGTTCGATTCCTGCACCAGGCAGAAACAAATGGGCAAAGTTTCTTTCACCCTGAATGCCCCTGTTACTTATTAGTAAATAGGTACCTGGAAGTTAGTCAGCTGTCATGGGCTGCTTCCTGGGGGGTGGTATGGAGAAAAAAGAAAAAAAAGGTAGTTAGTAAACAGTTGATTGACAGTTGTGGGTCGAAAGAGCAAGGCTCAACCCCCCGCAAACACAACTAGCCGAATACAACTAGGTGAATACACACACACACACACACACACACACACACACACACAGGAGAGGTTAGAGGCATTAAATATGCCAAAACTAGAAGACAGAAGAGGTGATATGATCACTACATACAAAATAGTAACAGGAATTGATAAAATCGACAGGGAAGATTTCCTGAGACCTGGAACTTCAAGAACAAGAGGTCATAGATTTAAACCAATTAAAGATGCAGAAGAAATAAGAAAATTCACTTTCGCAGAGTGGTAGACGGTTGGAACAAATTAAGTAAGGTGATGGAGGCCAAAACCGTCAGTAGTTTCAATTCACTTTCGCAGAGTGGTAGACGGTTGGAACAAATTAAGTAAGGCGATGGAGGCCAAAACCGTCAGTAGTTTCAAAGCGTTATAGGACAAAGAGTGCTGGTTAGACGGGACACCATGAGCGTAGCTCTCATCCTGTAACTATACATAGGTAATTACTCACACGGGCAAGATAGAAGAGAGGTGATATGATCACCACTTCCAAAATACTAACAGGAATAGACCAAATTGACAAAGGAATTCCTGAAACCAGCAACATCACGAACAAGAGGACACAGATTCAAGCCAAGAAAACAGAGGTGCTGATAAAATATTTGAAAGTTTACTTTTGCAAACTGATAGACAGTTGGAAACACCAAGTGAGAAGATAGTGGAGGCCAAAATTGTCAGTAGTTTCAAAGCTTTATATAATAAAGAGTACTGGGAAGACAGGACACCATGAGCATAGCTCTCATCCTGTAACTACACTTGGGTAATTACACACACACTCAAAAATGTAAAGATGAACCCTTGAGAATCAACTTAAATGGTGCTAAACAGATGGAAGAAGTAATCAAGAAAGTTATGAAACTACAAAGTGATGAGAAAGGGAAATTATGGTCGTTAAGATGAGATCTTTCCAAAGAAGAGAGAGAAGTTGAAACTGAACCTCGTCAAGGCAAAATGTTTAAATGAGAGCAGGAACGAAGAATAAATAAAAAAAAAAATTCAGCAAGGTGATAGGGGTAGGCAAGCCAGTGAAAAGGTTCAAAAAAGTCAAACCAACAAATCACTAGAGAAGGGGGAAGTGAAGAATAAGGAGAGAGGGAACATGTTCCTGAAAATTGCATACACCAACATAGATGGAGTGAGATCAAAGATACTGGAGTTAAGTGATGTAATACAGCTGCATACAGACATTGTTACACTCAAGAAAACAAAACTTGATGATGATATTTTAAATGAGGCCATATTCCCAAGGGGCTACTCAGTTTGGAGACGGGACAGAAAAATTAGGAAAGGCTGTGGCATTGCTGTGCTGGTGAAAGGACACCTAAAGGTAAATGAAATAATGATTGACAATCTACAAAAAGGTGACAAAACAGCACTCAATATCTGCAATCAGGATAAGCTAATAATTATAAATGCATATAGTCTACCGCCATGCAACACATGGACAAAGGAGAAGCTGGATAATAAATGAGAGGGTCTTGTAACAAAAATGAGAGAGATTATAGCAAGAGCGAATAAAGATAGAGCATGACTGCTGGTACTCGGCGACTTCAACTTAAAATCCAGAATGGGAGGCATATTAAGCTAGAACAGAGGACTCTTGGACCTGTAGACTAGTAAATCCTCATCCTGGAGACATTCATGTATCAACATGTTAAACAAGCTAACAAGGAAGGGGATGTTCCCTCCATTCTGAATTTGATATTCACCAGGAAAGAGGAAGATGTATTTGACATTCAGTACCTTCCTCCCTTGGGTAAAAGTGACCATGTCTTTTTGGGTATAAGTATGCAATGCGATATAATCTGGAAGAAAATGAAGTTAAAATAGTTGAAAAACCGGACAACTTAGAAATTTCTTTAACTCCTTAACTGCGCCGCCTCCAAATATGACAACTCCCAGTGCGCAGGAAATAAATTCTCTGGAAAAAATTCTTTTCTGTTTTGAAAGTGTCAAAAACCCTTCCCTGAGTATGGGTATAGTAACAGAAGGTCGAAATTGAACGTACTTTGGCTGCTATAGGGTCCGTAAGTTCGTGCGTGACGTCATCATTCCCTGGTCGCCCATGGCGTACGCCCCCGGGGCTGGTAGGGCGCTCGGGGCAGGATGAGCGAGTTGCCGCAAATATATTTTTGTTCGTTTTCTACACACAGTTCCAAATACATTTATATACTTTTACGTACCAATCCTATGTATAATGAACACGTACACTATATTATGGCAGTAGAACATCCGTACTGTCCGAAGACTCTGTGTTACGCGCATGACACGTGTACACATATTCGGCATATATGTCCATTGTATCATGCTAATTTATGTATATATATATAGTCTATTTACATACTATACACTATCACACACTATATACGTTCACCATCAACACACTCAGAACTCCGAGAGTGTCAGCTGCCACACCTCACTCCTCCAACATCCAGTCTCTCCCTCACTCCTCCAACATCTTACTCGCCAACATTGCTCCTCCCACCATACTGTTATTGTTTGTATTACACTATTTACACATGTTATGTATACCTACATGTTTTATTCACCAGAACTATACAAGTAAGATGGTAGTGTGTCCAAACTTTACAGTGGCCACCATACTCTGCATGAGAAATTGCACAGCAGCCAGCAGACGATGCCATGATTACGTCACCTCCCTCACCAAAATAGCTCCTCCCAACATACTCCTGTTGCTGTTATTACACTATATACACACATTGTATATACCCATGTACAAATGTGTTACCATAGTGAACCACTAAGCTAGTATGCAGCAAAGAAAGGGCCGCTGGTAAGATCCAGAAGCCTTGGCAGGAGGAACAGGCTCGAAAACCTCTGTCCCCAACCCGAATGGGGCAGCCCTCTGAAACTGCCCGAGTCTCGGCTCCAACTAAACCCCGCCCCGACCCCGAAACCCGCCGACGGTCAGGCGCCCGGAACAGGGTGGGAAGGGGCGAACAGCACCTAACCAATACGGGGCAGCCCGGGGGCATCCGGGTGGGAAACCAACCTAGCGAGTTGCAGCAACCTAAACCAAGCTTGTAATGCGGATGTCACCTGTACTCTGAACAGCAAGGACATCAGGAGAGTACTGGAGAACAAGCAGAGAATACAACTCGCAAGACTCCGGGTCAAGGTGTCAGTGACCCAACAGGTAGCATGACGGAGGCAAAAGTGGCGACTGTCACCCTGAAACATGGGCACAGTAACCAACGAACCCGCACAAGACGGGATGGAACCCGGAAGACACATCCAATGGTCCACCGAGGCCCCGACAGGGTTTTCCAGGGCCCATAGGCTGACTGCTACGGGAAGCCAGGGCAAGGTGTTGCTAACCGGTTAACACCCAAAACTAACAAAGGGTAGATGCCAACACTGAAAACCCCTGCGACGTGTACAATCACAGGGGCCTAGCAGAGAGCCACCACACACTACCAGTGGAACTATAGCCACACTAGGCAGACCCCCACCAGGCAATGAAAATAAAAAAAAAAATAAAAAACCCTGCAAAAGTGCACCATCCCCAGAGGCAACAGGAACCGGTCGCCACGTAGGTAGCAGGTTGCATAACACCATGACGCCCTAACCAGCACAATACTAGACCCTACCCAAGGCCAAACAAGGGCCCCAAGCCCTAGCTGGCCCCAAGAGCGAGGCAAATGCCGAGCAGCAAGAACCTCTACGGGAATGGTTCCCGAACGCCCCAGGGAAGATAACCCTGTCACGCAGAGGGAGTACTCACAGGGCGCTTAGGGAAGGAAGCCCCTAAGCGCATGCAGCCCCGGTATTGATGAGGAACACCTGGCCACCACACAACACAAAAACACAGCAGTGAGCACCATGAAGGCAAACAATGCCTAGGAAACTGTGGCCAGAGAAGCATCTGTCCTGGTTGACATTAGCTTACGAACTGGAGTGCTATGCAGCCGGCGCGGTTAGGTCCCGGGTCCCACCTCCCCCTCTCGGGGAGAGGAGGGCTGCGGGGATGAGCAGCGTGGCAGTAGTGTGTTATGTTTGCTTGTACCCTTGGGATTGTAGGGAGTTCTACCATCTCTGGTTTTTGTTGTTAGTTTCTTACAATGTGGGGGTTTGTTTTGTTATGCCTACCTTTCTGGGTGCCTAACCCTGGTCGATGGCAGATAAGGAAAACCCCAACCACAGGGGGGCTTTCCAGGGCCATTGCTCCCTGCAACCTCTCTGAAGGAGGTAGGTTCTGGCTCATGGAACCTGGTAGGTCTGAACTCCATAGCTAATGTCCCGGTCTAATGTAACATACATTTGCCCAATAAGATCCCGGGAGCCTCCGGGGCTCCCAACAGAAAAATTATTTAGATTTTCTGTATCTCTTGTACAGCTTTCTGTTACAATTCCATTTCCTTAGACTCTTATGATCGTTTCAGTGTCTGCTCTATTTCTTCCATCTCCCTTGAGGTTATCCTGAGGTTATCGTGAGATGATTTTGGGGCTTAGCGTCCCCACAGCCTGGTCCTCGACCAGGCCTCCTTTTTGTTACACACCCTCCCAGGAAGCAGCCTGTAGCAGCTGTCAAACTCCCAGGTACCTATTTACTGCTAGGTAACAGGGGCATCAGGATGAAAGAAAAATTTTGCCCATCTGTCTCCGCCTCCACCGGGGATCGAAACCAGAACCTCAGGACTACGAATCCGAAGCTCTGTCCACCCAGCTGTCAGGCGCCCCAAACGTCCCTGTTTAGATCTATTTTCCTTACTTGTGATAGTCGTCATAGACTATCAGTCATAGATATAATTTCAGTTGACACTTTTGTTTGATGTAAATTTTTGACCATTTTTGAATTTTTGACAATTTAATATTTTTGACAATTTTAATATTTTGACAATTTAATATTTTTTAATATTTTAATAGTTTTGACAATTTAATATTTTTTTTCCTCCCTTCCTATTTATGCTATGATGCTGAAACTTGGGCCAGTTGAACCAAATTTTATATACAACTAGTCAAAAAAGTTTGATTGAAATCAAACCAGTTTTTATTTATCACATATTTCCGTAATACGCCCCTTTATGTGGAACTCTGTCGAAAGCCTTTTTTAGGTCCAGATAGATACAGTCAACCTAACCTTCCCTTTCTTGTAAAATCTGTGGCTCGATCATAAAAACTGAGTAAATTCGATACACAGGATATACCAGATCGAAAGCCATACTGTGTCTGATATTATTTTGTTTCTCTCCAGGTGTTCTACCCATTTAGTTTTAATTATTTTTTCCAATATTTTGACTATTACACTTGTCAATGATACAGGTCTATAATTGAGGGGGTCTTCCCTGCCCCCACCTTTGTAGATTTTAACTATGTTAGCCATTTTCCACCCGTCTGCTACGACTCCTGTACACGGGGAAGTCTAAAAAATCAAGTGAAGTGGAATGCTGAGCTCAGATGCACACTCTCTCAGAACCCATGGTGAAACTCCATCTGGGACAACTGCTTTGTTCTTATTTAGCTCCAAGAGCATTTGTTTCACTTTGTCACTAGACACCTCTATGTGCTCTATGTTCTTCTTTGGAATTTTTACTGTGTCTGGTTCCCTAAAGATCTCATTTTGTACACACACACTTTGGAACTTTTCATTTAATGTTTCACACATTTCCTTTCAGTGTATTTGTCCCACATTTTTAACCTCTGAATATTATCCTTTACCTGTAGCTTGCTTTTAATGAATTTATAGAAAAGGCCTGGATCTGATTTACATTTGTCTGCTATACTGTTCTCAAAGTTCCTCTCTGCCTCTCTCCTTACTGACGTGTAGTTTTTCGCATTAGTTGTATCGCTGGTATGTTTGGGGATTTGGCCTTTTCCTATAATGATTCCATGCTTGTGTCTTAAGCTCTGGCCCTCTAGCTATTTCTGTTGAACCAACCCTGTTTCCTCAGTCTCCATCTCTGTTTTGGTATGAATGTGTGTGTGCCTTCATTGTATATTTTGCAAAATATGGCATACATCTCATTTACTTCCTTGCCTACCAACAAGTCAGTCCAATTATGCCCATGAAAAAAATTTGTTCCCCAAAGTGTCCTCTCTTGAAATCGAGTTTAACAACTGTTTCAATGTCCCCATTTTCTACAAGATGCATACTCTACTACAGTATTGCATAATGTATTTATTGTCCAAGAGGGCGTGATCACTCTTTTCCAAGGGAGGAAGGTACTGGATGTCAAATACCTCCTCTTCTTTCCTGGTGAATATCAGATCCAGTACTGACAGAACATCTCCCTTCCTTCATTCTTGTGGCCTGCTTGACGTGTTGATACATGAATGTCTCCAAGATGAGGTTTACAAATCTGCCTGTCTAAATGTCCTCTTGTTCTTACCTCGTAGGCCTCCCAGTCTATTGCCTTAAGTTGAAGTACCCCATTACCAACAATCGGGATTTATCTTTGTCAGCTCTTACCATGATCTCTCTCATAACCATTATGAGGCCCTCACGTTTGTCATCCAGTTCTTCCTTTGTCAATGTGTTGCTTGCTGGTGAGCTGTAGGCATTTAAAATTATCAGCCTATCTTGATTCCAGACCTGCAATGCTATTATGTCAATATCTCGAGGGTTTTCAATTATTAACTCTCTTACCTTCAGGTGTTCTTTCACCAGCACAGCCACTCCTCCCCCCTTCCTAGTTTTCCTGGCAAGTGTGTCTCCAAACTGAGTAGCCCCTTGGGAAAACGACCTCATTTAAAATACTTTCTTCAAGTTTCGTCTCTGTTAACCCTTTAACTGAGCGGCCTATAAATATGACCCCCCAGTGTGCAGGAAATAAATTCTCTTGAAAAAATAATTTTTTTTTTTAAAGTGTCAAAAACCCTTCCCTCAGTATGGGTATGTCAAAAAAATTTCAAACTTGTACTTACTTTGGCTGCTATGGGGTCCGTAAGTTAGCGCGTGACGTCATCATTCCCCCGTTCGCCCGTGCAGTAAGCTCCCGGGGCCGGTGGGGTGCCCGGGGCGGGGCGCGCGAGTTGCCGCGAATATATTTTTGTTAATTTTTTGCGCACAGTTCCAAATACATTTTATTTGTTTTTACGTGCAAATCCTATGTATAATGAACACGTACACTATATAATGGCAGTAAAACATCCGTACTGTCTGAGGACACTGTGTTACGTGCATGACACTTGTGTACACATATGTTGCACATATTTACCATGTATCATGCTAATTTATATATATATATATACAATCTATTTACAGACTATACACTGTCACACACTATATACATTCACCATCAACACATTCAGAACACCGCAAGTGTGAGCAGCCACACCCAGCCAGCCCTCCCTCACTCCAACATCTTACTCGCCAACATTGCTCCTCCCACCATACTGTTATTGTATTTATTACACGATTTACACATGTTATATATACCTATCTACATGTTTTATTTACCAGAACTATGCAAGTAAGCCGGTATTGTGTCCAAACTGTACAGTGGCCACCATACACTGCATGAGAAATCACACAGCAGACAGCAGACGACGCCACGATTACGACGTCACCTCCCTCACCAAAATAGCTCCTCACGACATACTCCTGGTGCTGTTATTACACTATTCACACACACTGTATATACACATGTACATGTGTGTTCCCCATAGCACACACGAAGCTAGTACGGTGAGCAAAACAAGAGTTACTGCCACACAGTGAGGCTACCTCAATTCTCTCCCTTCCTCCCTCCCTCACCAAAATTCCTCCTTGCTACGCACAACGCTCATTATAACCACAATCCTGGTCACTAATGCCTGTAAATGAATAATTGACAACAAGTTTATTTTGAAAAGGAACCTAAGAAATCGTTTGAAGATTCCTAGATGGACGAAATAATGCTGTGGTGCTGTGGCTAGCGCTGTGAACATCATGAACAGCATTGAATCACTGATATTTGAACATTGTACCCAGTCATTATCACACTCGGGCTCTTCTATAATACTACCATGGCTAAATAAAACAGATTATATATATATTTTGACAATATTAGGCGATGCTGTGGTCACACGCTGAACAGCAGTGCTGTGCGCTCATGCTGCGAGCGCCAGCCTTGGTTGCTCACTCGCTACTGAGGCTCTGACACCCGGCAATGTGGACCATGATTTTTTTTTAAGATGGCGTCTGTTTACAAGAGCCCTGAGGAAGCTGATGTGAACCCCATGTAGCTGCGGGAGTTTTGAATGGAACGTGAAAAATAAAAACACCCGGAGGCGCGTTGCGCACCCGAAGCCTGGGCCTGCAGGTGCGTTGCTCAGTTAAAGGGTTAATGCGACAATATCTGGGACTTTGAGCTGAATTATATCCTTCAACTCCAATATTTTCGATCTCACTCCATCTATGTTAGCATATACTATTTTAAGGAACATGTTCCCCTTCCCTTTGTTCCTTACATCTCCTTCCTTTAATGATTTTGTTGCTTTGTCTTTATGTACCATTTCACAAGCTTTCCTGTCCCTGACACTTTGTAGGAAAAAAGAATTCCTTTCTTCATTTCTATCCTCATTTAGACGTTTTGCTTCAATGAGGTTCATTTTCAGCTTTTCTCTGTCCTCCTTTGAGAGGTCTCGTCTTATTGACTAAAGTTTGCCATCCTCATCACATTGCAATTTTCTGGTATTCCAAAGCACTTTTGTCATATACTTCACTCCATTAAACGTCACCCTTAAGGGGCGGTTTTAGTCTCTCTCATTTTCCTATCCTCCTAAAATCACTGACATGCTCCTTTACATTTAAGCCTTCTCCTAATCCTACTATTTTTTCTATGATTTTCATCTCTTCTGCTGCTCGGTCCACCCCAGATGAAATTTTCTTCTCTAAACATCCAAAAATTATTATGGACTTACTTCTACTGTATCTACAGTATTAGTTTACTGTTAGTAACCAGTCCTTTCCTAATTGCTTGCCTAAGATCCGCTTCTTGTTTGTCATTTCTATTTTTGACTTCCAAACACACTTCCTTAATCGTCTCTTTCTCTTTTACAACTTACTCATACGTCTTTTATTTCTTCCTTATACTTTTCTAGTTCTTTATTAACATCCTCTACTTGAGTTGTCAATGAAGTTTCCAGTTCCAGATCCTTGCCTAACTATGTTAGCCCTCAGGGTCCCTTGGAGTTGTTCACTATATGGGTATTTTCTTGTTTATTTCTTCAAAGTCACCACTCTTCACTTTCCACACCTCAGTGTGCTTTACGATTTGTATTACAGTCTTGTGGATATCTCCCTCCCCCTTTGTACTCCTGCAGTGATTCTATCTGGCTGGTCCTCTTTCTTATTAAACCATATTACCATATTAAATACCACACCATTATTAACCACTGTACCTTATCAAAGTTAACAACAAGAACTGGATGAGTTGAGCACTCATAGGTGACTGGCGAGAGGCGACACTTGTCAGTTTGGGCAAAGCTGAGAGTCGTCACACTTGCCACAATGGCAAAGCTCAGCATAGACTTTAGGCTCATCCCCACCATCTTGGGTGCTGGCTGTTATCACACTGCAAAACAGAGAAAATTGTCACTATTACTTATTAAGAGGCAAGATAGCTTAGCTAATTGTGTGACAAGTGTAAAAATCAAAATATAAAATGAATAGAGGAAGGGGGATACAGTCAACACTGCACGGCAATGCGCGCACGCTAACACACGAGACACGACGTGACACGACATGACATGCGCACACACTACAAAAGTGGCAGCAGGGAAAACCCCCTCAATTACAGACCTGTATCATTGTAATAACCCTAACCAGCTCTACCCTTACTCCTCTCAATACTCCAGGGTTAACACTGCTTGCAGATCACTGTGACCCTCGGTGATACTACCAGTTAATGTTGACCCTGAAATATTAAGTGAGGAGGAAGCAACAAGGATGACGGGATTATTAATTTTAAAATAATGACTGAATAAAACTCATTAAACACTGCCACCACCTCCCTAACCTTAGAATGTGTCTAAATTACTGCTTCCCCAGGAAGGAAGGAAGGAAATCAGTAATCATGAACTCAAGGGCATTAGGAACTTCGGTAATAAATCTTGGGAATTAATTTATACAAATTTTACTTTACTGATTGAGGAACCAAGGGCAACTATAATATCCATGAAACAGAGGAGAACACAGGGGTTTCTAGCAGCGCATATATCTACCACAAATATAAGAACACAGCATTAATCAAAGGGGAACAGATAACTTAACAACAAACTCAATAACTATTTAATTTAAACACGTATATTGAAATCAAATAAACATATATTGTACTCTATTTTCCCTAAGAGGCAAATGGATATCTACCGAAGACATGAATACTCAGGTGTACAATACCTTAAAAATTGCACTCCGGCCAAGATGTTGATGGCTGCCCTCAGCCCCTTGATGCCGGACCGAGTTCCCACTTCACAGCACTCCAAGAACACACTAATGAAATTTGTTTCCCCAGCTTACCAGTGGAAGCAATTACTCCTCCCCAATTAATACAGCACCAGGGCTCCACCCATTTTTGAGGCTTACAGCCAACCATTTAGCCCTAGGCCTGAGATCTGGTCCTCACTGGCCAATAAGGATTTGGCCCTTTTCTACTGCCAATCGCCTTCCATGATCTGCCTAAAAGGTACATGAAATTCTCGAAGATTGAGTCAGCTCTCCCCAGCTATCCGAAGAGAACAAGGCGCCTCTGTAGTTGGACCATCTCAGACCTGGGCACAGCAAGCAATGTTTACAAAAACTGATAAATTATGTTCAACCTGGTTCATTCTAAGATAAGGTAGGGACACTTGACTCGCCTGGTATGGGGAGGAACCAGTGAGAGGGGGAAGAGAGGAAATTGAGAGGGGGAGAATGAAGAGGGAAATTGATTGGGGAGGGAGGGAGAAGGGGGGGAGGGAAGGAGGGAATCAGTCGTTACATCATTGATAAGTGTAATAGTCAAAATACTGGAAAAAATAATAAAAACTAAATGGGTAGAACACCTGGAGAGAAATTATATATCAGACAGACAGTATGGTTTTCGGTCTGAAAGATCCTGTGTGTCGAATTTACTCAGTTTCTATGATCGAGCCACAGAGATATTACAGGAAAGAGATGGTTGGGTTGACTGCATCTATCTGGACCTAAAAAACCAGCGTCGAATGTAAGGAAACGCCATTTTCTGGGTGAGTCCCGGAGGCTCCCCGGAGCTATCCATGGCTGATATGGATACCCTAACTATTTTGTATCAATCGATGTGGGTGGAGTTCTAGGCCTACCGGGGACCACGCGCCAGAACCTGGCCCCCTCAGAGAGGCACGGGGAGCAATGGCCCATAGAAATGCACATGTGATTTGGAGCATTCTATATCTGCCATCGACCGGGACAGGCACCCAGAAAGGTAAGCGCCACAAAACAAACCCCAATTCTGGTTAACAACAAAAATCGACAAACGAGTGGACAGAACTCCCCCAGGAAAACAAACTAACAAGCATGACGTCACATGAGCCGCGCCGCATGTCTGCGCAGCTCCCCCCTCCCCAGGAGGGGGAAGGGGGAGCCCCAGACCCACGCGCCGGCGATCCCCGCCCCAGTTCTGAGGCTGGATATCAAAACCGCGAAAAAACCCCGCCGACCGGAGGGCGGGAGGGTGCCGGGGAGCCTCCGGGACTCACCCAGAAAATGGCGTTTTATTACATTCAACGCTGGTTTTCTGAGGGGAGCCCCTACGGCTCCCCGGAGCTACCTCACCAAAGACTACCTAAGAAAACAGGGGGACATACCCGGGAGGCAGTCGATGGTGTCATCGACTTACGATATTTGTTGGTACACGTTCAGGTTGACCGAGTGCGTGGTTCCCTGTCACGCGGCCGACCTGCCTCAGTTTACTACAGCTGCCTGCTTAGTGATGATCGCGCCTATAAGAAATTTTGCTTTTGTGGTGATTTTTTGCATTTTGAACATTAATTATTATATATCACGCCATGAGTCCCAGGAAAGTCAGTGGTAAGGCTCAACATATGAGATCCCATGTAAGGATGACCATAGAGCAGAAACAAGAGATCATTCGTAAATATGAAGATGGTGTGCGGGTTGTTGGACTGGCTAGGCAGTACAACAAATCTCAGTCAACAATATCCACCATACTGGCTAAGAAAAAGGACATTATGGGCGCTAAAGTGATGCATCATTACAGACAAATGTTAAAACGAAAGGAAAAACAAATGTCTCTTGACAAATTTGTAGTGAGACAAACAAGCACTGAACCACAACCAGGTCCTAGTGGTATTCAGGCAAAACGTAGGAGAGAGAGTACCCCAGAGAAAACATCACTGCCTGATGTGATAATGGAAGGGGACTCCCCCTACCAAACAGTAACAACTCTCCTCCTCCCCCATCACCATCTTCCATACGCCATCAAGAGCCCTCCATAAAGGTAAGAGTAACTTTGGTACTGTATTGTAGTTAGAAAAAAACATTGTATTCAGTATAAAATGTATTTTTATGTTAATATTTTGGAGGATGGGGAACGGATTAATTCAAATCCCTTTATTTCTTATGGGAAAATTCGCTTCGACTTCCGATATTTCGACTTCCGATCCGTCTCTGGGACCTGACTTCCGATATTTCGACTTCCGATCCGTCTCTGGGAACGGATTAGTATCGGAAGTCGAGGCCCCGTTGTATTGTGTTTTGTCTTTGTTTTGATCAGCACTGTACCAAGGGATTATTTTTATTTTGTTTGTACTGTATTTGTTTAACCCTTAAAGTGCGCATCACGTCATATGACATGTTGCAAGTTGTTCCAGTCAACTGCGCTTCACGTCGTATGACGTGTATGAGTACCATGCACGATTTGAATGTCCCGCGGTGTAGCTGGGGTTCCCATACACTGCCCAGGGGCTATAGTAAACAGCGGCCATTTTCAAAAAAATTCCCGCTCACAAATCGAAGGCATGGGAGGCCTCAGTTTAGCGACAGTCACAATGGCAAGCGCACGGTCAAACGCCTCTCGGGCACGCACCACGCAATCCCTCACCCCAGAACATATAGCCCACGAATTAGTCTCCGAAGGCGAAGAAAAGTGTGTTTGATGATTCAGACAACGATGAGGATTATACACAGTTGTCGGGTGATAGTAGCAGCAGCAGTGAGAGTGACAATGACCGGTGTGCCATGGCGAGGCCTCTACGCTCACCCGTGCCTCCTCGCCCAGTTTCTACCCCAATTCTACCACGACCTCACAGTTCCTGTGGATATTTACTGTTTGAGGGTGACGAGTCAGAGGGAGGTGACTCCTTTTCTGGGTTTAGTGACTCAGATCATAGTTTTATTGAGCCTGTGGCTGGTACCAGTGGTGTAACTGGCTGAGAAATTGTCGCGTCAGCAGCGTCTCGCCCAGCCAAGCACCACCGCATGGCACCACATGAGGGACCAAGACCCTCATGTTCACGTGCACCCACCTCACGTGCACCCACCTCACGTGCACGTAGCCGCCGTGCTTCTCGCAGACGGTATTCAGCTCCTGGTCGCCGGTATGCATCGCTTCCTCGCCGTCTTTCCTCTGCATCTCGCAGGACGCCTGGTGTACTTGAGTGGAGTGATGGTGACGATTTTATTCCTAATATTCCTCACTTTGACGGTAAAGATGTAGGGATTACAAACCTTTTCCCTAATCAAGGTGAGGACATGGCTGAGATGGAATATTTTACAGCATTCTATGATGAACCACTCATGGAATACATTGTACACCAAACAAACCTGCATGGTGCTTATCTGATTGAGAGGCAAATCACTGAATTTTCACGACTGCAGCGTTGGAAAAATACCACAGTTGCGGAAATGTATGTGTTTTTGGCACTCTGTTTGATGATGAAGCACTGTGACAAACATGCAATAAGTCACTATTGGAGCAAGGACCATACAGTGCCAACACCTTTATTCGGGAAATATATGTTACGAGACAGGTTTCAGATACTCCTCAGGTGTCTACATTTTGGAAGTGTTCAGGACCGAACACCTGATGATAGACTGTGGCGAGTGAGGCACTACATGAACGAGGTTATTGGAAAATTCAGAGATTTTTACGTACCAGCACAGAAGCTGGTGGTTGATAAATCTCTCGTACTTTTCAAGGGACGTGTTCCATTCAAGCAGTACATTCCCTCAAAACGAAACCGATTTGGCCTGAAATTTTTTGTCCTTTGTGATTGTGAGACAGGATACGTGTTACACATGATTCTGTACTCGGCTAGTGATGCAGACATTCCCGGTAACGACGAACATGGATTCTCGGGGAGTGTAGTGAAGTCCATAATGGCTCCGTGGATGAACAAGGGACACATTTTATACACGGATAATTACTATACAAGTCCCTTGCTAGCTCGGTTCTTGCTAGAAAATAGAACCGGATTGGTTGGTACAGTAAAGCCACAACAAAGGGAAATGCCTGTGTTTGACAAAGACATTACAGTTGGTGAGTGTCAGAGAAGGAAAAGTGATAACATTCTGGCAGTTCGGTGGAAAGACAAAAAG